TAATAATCAAAGTAAGTCTCTCTTGAGAGTCTTTGCCAGTGGTGCGATAGACAAGAACATTCAGTTAATAACTGCTGGAAAAAACAAAATGAACAACGCGCGACAGAAAATAAATTAAGAATTATTTGCCAAAATTGTAATAATTCAGCGCATACTGCTAAGGATTGCAGATCCAGAATGGATCGAAATATGAACAGTAATAATACACCATTTTGCCGATATTGTAAAACGCAAAGGTATCTTCTCGAAAACTGCGAATTATGCATTGCAAGTAATAATCATAGAACGGTAAATAGTTCGGTAAGTTCCAATGGCCCCTCGAAGTCGAGTATGCAACAGAGGTCCGAACGGATTTCCGCCCATCAATGGCCGCAGCACCTCAGTAAAGAGCGTGCTAGACGCCCGGTTTGTGACAGTAAATCTCGACAAACATAGTTGCGTACCTACCATTCAGGTAAATTTAGAAAAAACGGCCACATATATAATTATGTTAAACGCTGGTTCCAGGCCAAACACAATCAAAGAAAATTTTGTACCAGTACATAACCATAAATTATACTAATATCTTAAAACTGAATGGAATAAATAATTACCCCGTCTTCATCCTTGGCGAAATTAAATTAACCCTTTTTGATTTTAATAAATTTTCATATAATATCAGATGACTTCCCAATACCGCAAGCCGGAATATTGGGCAATCCCAGAGAACGCCATGTGAAAGAAGGCTTTGATCCATGATATAGAACGTATTAGGTGTACAAAAAAGTTCTGAGTTTTAGATTTCATACAACCGAAATAACAATTTAAATTTTATATATCTTCCCGCCCTTTTGCGGTTTTAAAGCGTTGACATTTGGCCTTCTAAAATGCCATACGGTTTGGCGTTTAATGCACATAACCTCAAAAATCAGTAGTGTTCATGATGGCAATAACAAAAGAGCATATTCGATTTTCCATTCACTTCGCGTTTCATCTGAAGAAAAATGCTGCTGAAGCCACTGCAATGATTTGTGCTGCTGATATGGAGAGAACGCTGTAAGTCATGCTACATGTAAAAGATGGTATCAAAAATTTCGCCAAAGAGATTTCAGTCTTGAAGATGAACCGCTGGACGCCCTCAAAAGATTGAAACGGACGAATTGCAAGCACTGCTGGATATAAACTCTGCGCAACTGAAAAGGAGCTTGCAGGACAACTTGGCGTTACGCAGCAAACCATTTCCGTACGTTTATATACGATGGGAAAGGTTCAGAAGGAAGACAGATGGGTTCCGCATGTCCGAAGACAACAAAAATCGTCGGCGTAACACTGCACTCACTTTGTTTTCAAAGTTCCGGAAAAAAGATTTTCTGCACAAAATCATTATAGGCGATGAAAAGTGGATTCTTTATGATAACTCTAAACGTAGAAAATCATGGATTGACTCTGGTCAACCTTCGACATTGACGACAAAGCCCAATATCCACGTCAAGAAGGTTTTGTTCTGTATCTGGTGAGATTGGAAAGGTGTGTTGTATTACGAGTTGTTACAACCGGGTGAAACAATCACGGCAGACCGCTACCAACAACAATTGACCAATTTGAGCGATGCAAGAAAAGAGGCCATTTACTGGCCAAGGACGTCATAAAGTGATCTTGCTTCATGACAATGCTCGACCACATGTTGTGAAAGCGACTCAGGACCATATCTTTGCATTAGATTGGAAACTTCTCCCGCACGCGGCGTATAGCTCAGACATGGCGCCTTCCGATCGCTGCAGCATCATTTGGCTGATACACATTTCGTGAGATTTGAAAAAATGCATTGATGACTTTATCGCTTCGAAACCGGTGAGCTTCTATCGTCAAGGAATTTGCAAGCTATCCAAAAGATGGCAAAAGATCGTTGGTGCAAACAGGGAATATTTCGCTGATTAATATTTTTTTGTTTGTTTTTGAATAAAGATTGAATTTTACAAAAAAAAGCTCAGAACTTTTTTGTACACCTAATATTTCGCGGAATTTCGAGAAATGCGTAATTAATACAACCAATTGCTGATTAGAGTTTCTGTTGTACTCTCTAACAGAAATGCTAAACTAATTTGATTGGTTTTTGTAATCTGCGTATCTGGAAAAGTACACTTCATGGAGAATCGAGATTTTATGTACGAGTATGTGTACGAACAGTCAAGTAGATGTGAACCTAATCTATGAAAATGTATTCAGAAGTCATTATAGACCCTGACCTGTTGTTATTAATAATATGGAAGCGATGGCAAAAGTAGAAGAAGATGAAACAATCTCAATAACAGAAAATTAGATGATATATTTTAAAATTGTTTGGAAACTGATGGTATACCAACAGGAAAAAGCTCGTCATAGAATGTGGGTGCGTCCAATATTCGCAAAAAGACGAAAATTATTACAGAGTGACAGTGACAATCTGGTCAAAGAAATGGAATTTGAAGATTACGAAATGTTCTACAATTATTGTAGAATGTTCATAGAAATGTTTAATCAGTTGTTAGATATTGTTGGGCCACGCATTGAAAAACATTATAAATTAATTAATATATATATATATATATTAATTAATTTTATATGATGATTTAATTAATCATTATTATATTAATTAATTAACTTATCCTGATTTGATCTTTATTCATTTTGCCAAAAAGCTCTGATTATCTGATTATTCACTGTGTGTGTGTGTGTGTGTGTGTGTGTGTTTCTTCCGCAAAAAAATTAGGGAGCTATTATTAGATTCAGCGTAACAATATAGCATAAGTAAACAGCATAAAGTAACTAGGCGGAATCTGATGTTCAAGTGAAACGATGTGATTGGCGCAAGTTACGTTTACGCAAGTTACGCCGCATGTGATGGCACCCTAAGAATATATGGATGGAGCTTGTTGCGCAGGGTAGGTGAGATTAGCAATAAGGAGAGACTACATGCACTTCGACTATTAGAAAGCCTTCTTTCACATAGAGCAGCGTTCGGAATTAGTTGAACATTTCCGATTTCGAGGGCGACGCCTACAGTTCCCCTATCACCACTCGAGTCTCAGCAGCCGAGCCGCCGAATGGCTGTGCCTCAGGAATGTCGCCTTGTGAGTGTCGGTCCACAATAGGTGACTTAAGCTTTAAGAAATTGACCAATTATAATCTAATATGAAAAGAATAATCGACTATGATTGGTCAATTTCTTACGACTTAAAGATTAAATACTTATTGTGGACCGACACTAAGAAACATGCTCGTACGCTTTTCGCCTCAAACTGTCACTTAGATATCTTCTTTGCTAAATTATTTTTATTTTTATAAATAAATAAAACGTTGAATTTTCTATTATTAATATATTATATTGTGCTTTATTTATGTTCTTTTTTCAAACATATGTTAAATATCTCAAAAAATATAAAAGATACGGAAAAACATTTCAGATAAAAATTTTATACCT